TGTGTGTGTGTGTGTGTGTGTGTGTGTGTGTGTGTGTGTGTGTGTGTGTGTGTTCGTATTCCTACCTTATCACTGTCCAGTGTGTTCTGGGATGTGCGTGAGGCGATGGAAATTGTATCTGGTTGGCTGCTGGCATCTCCCTGACTGTCCAGCTCCTCTCCATCCCTTCAGGCAGATATTAGTAGAGTTATTCAATTGTAAGAAATTTGTTTTTTACTCTTAATTAAAAAAACCGACATGTTAAATTAACCTAAAATATGTTTCAAGTACATGGTACGTGTGGTCTAGTGACTAATTTAAACCGTCCTCTGTGGTTGCAGTGGAGCTCAGCAGAGATAACAGGCCTCTCCTCTTACCGCCTGCCTTTATGTTTGGTTGTGGTGGCTTTCGGGATGTGGATGGGCTCCTTCAGAGCTCCTCGCAGGTGGACTGTTCGCTCCTGGATGACTTCCCTGATGTGCTTGATCCAGTCTTGCTTGTTCTCTAAACTCGATGCCTGAAACACAACGCACAGAGACGCTTCAGAACAAAGCTGCGTGCAAAAGGCTCATATCTGAAGAAAGCTGTGAAGAATATAGAAAAATGGCAGCTGGTGAACGTTTCACCTGGTTCAAAAGAGTGACTCGCTGACTCATAACACCGAATGCACGTCTATCAGGGTTTCATTGATTTTTTCCATTTGAACCACTGATTAAAGTAATTGCTTGATTAACTTCTTTATTTTAGTCACACTTATTTTTCTATATATTGATATGATGACAGTGTGAGTTTAGCTTCACTCAAGGGCTGTAAAAACAGACTATGTATTTAGTGGGCTTATATATACAGTTCTGAGAGTTCATCTATAGTACAAGGATCACAAATACAGTATGGTTGGAGCAGAGCTATCTAGTATAGTTTAGATCTTTGGAAAATTACAGGTAAGATATATAAACAGCACAAATTCTCTGGTCTTTACTCATTAACTTGCATTTGCACTTCAGTTCACCTTTGTCATTCATTTTTTGCAATCGCGATACGATTACAGTGTCATGCAGGAGGTTTTGGGTGAAGCGAGGCTTCAGTAGGTTTATTGGTTAATTGCCTTATTTTATTTTATTTTATTTTATTTAACCTTTACCAGGCAGAACATTAAGAATAGCTTCTTATTTACAATGTCAGCCTGGTGGGTACCAGAGACACTCATAAGGAAAAGGTGAAGGAGACACAAAACACCAAGCAAACATCATATCCAAGCTACATAGAGATTATATCAAATAAAAATATAAGATATACAAAATAAATAAAAACACATGACACAGTGTGGAAACATGTTCGGTTATCAATTTTTTAGTGTTTGTGTCACAGCTTCTACAGTCCATCTTCAGTTTCGTTATTTTTTATTTTTTTTCTTTATAAGCTGCTACTGAGTGAAGTTACAACACTCTCAAGCACTAATCTCCACAATACAAGAGCAAAACAAGATTTCTGACTCACTGGGTAAGAGTTAACAGATTCCATGTGTGTTTGGAAAAATGGTGCATGACAGTTTACCCCCCTGCTTACAATGAACCTGGTTGCCCAAAAGGAAATATGAAGATATACAATGTAGTAAGAGGACATGTTCCTTTTAACTATCCGTGGTCTCAGTTCTGGTTTTAAGTAAATTTTAAGTGAAAAACAATGACGACAAACGACTGATTTTAGCTACCTTGAGCACAATCTTGTTGTCTGAGGTCGGTGTCCTGCCCACCCAGAGAGCAAACTTACAAGGATCTCCCTCCACATGTTCTGTCACTCCGAGCTCCGATGTCTACAAAGGATGAAAAAAAAATAAAAACCATAGACTATAAACAACGAAACAAACACAAACAGCTGTTAACTGAGACAGCATGTTGTGCAGGACTTATATTCTTCTTACAAACAGTTTGCTCTTGTAGAGGTATTTGCTGTGTCCGTTTGAGTCTTTCACTTCCTTGCTGAAGACCAGAGACATCTCGAAGAGGAAGAGGTGTCTGTCACGGCCCTTCCGGATCAAAGTCTTGGGATCCCAAACCTGGAAGGAATCCTGGAGTATCAACTCTCCCTGGGAGTCAATGTTGCCGTCAAACCCTGAAGTTGTTAAAGAGGAGGAGTCAGCTTTGTGATAGTAGCAGGTTTAGACAGAGAAACGTGAAACACAGAGAGTGGTGGAATTACTACGGAGTTACACGCTGTTTGGAAGTTAATTAGAAATATTTTAAAGTACCTATGACATGCATATCCTTCAAATACAAAAACTCATAAAAAAATCTTTATACTTAAGAAACTTGGCATGATACATATGATTTTACCCATTTTGTCACATAACTAGACTATTTTCTTTTGGATTTGGCTCAGTAAAAGTGAAACAGGAAGTGACATCGAAGGGGAACTCATTAATAAATAAATTCTCTGGTCTTTTTTTTTTTTTATTAAAAAAGCATCATTTAAACTTTAACTCTTCATYATCTGTGTTTGATAAAGACTCAAAATAATCCAAAGAAACAACAGAATATTCTCTACAGTCTGTGTTATCAGCTATTGTAACAATGCTCTGTTCACAAGCAGACATTCCCCTTTGACATCACTTCCTGTTTCTTCACGTGCAAATTTCTCAACAACTGTTCATCTCAGGGGCGTGGAATGTGTTTTGCAATATGTTATCAATGTTATCTTTCCAAAAATATACTCATGTTTATTACAAAACTGTAATGTCACAGGCACTTTAAAAAGCCACAACCTCACAAAATTTCATCTCAATATATGTAAAACTGACTAAGTTACAGACATTTTTGTGTTTTCTGAGGTCAGATAGCTGTCTCAGTTGTAGATGCACATCCAATGATTACTGTCTGTGAGCTTCATTAAATTTTGTCCAGTATTTTGTGAGATATTTTGCTAACGGACAAATGAACACATGAACAAAGTTTGATCACCTGCCTTCTATGTAAGAAACAGTCTAATAACAGGCAGCAGCAGATAACGTCAGCTTTTCTATATAAAATACAGAAATATAACATGTTGGATTCTTGAATCGTAGTAATGTGTAGTGTTTCTACTCACCTTCCAGCATAGAGAGGTGCATGGCATCGTTGGCTCTCTTTGGGACACTGAGCATCACTTCAAGACCGTCCTTAATCTCACCTTTCCCCTCCTCACAGCACGTCAACAACTCCTACAATAACAGGCACATTTAAACTAACTGTAAGAAAACAAAGATTTCATAAAAACAAAACAACATTTCCAGTCTATTCATGTTGTGTGTGCCAAAATCTGTAATGATGGACCAACATGTTTACATTGGGGTGGGGGTGGCCCTATCAGAGGGCTAATTTCAGGCACCATTTGTTGAAAAAACAAAACAAACACATCGTGATTTTCCGATATATCATTTTTTTATTATAAAATCTATTACGTTCCTAATACTTAGAGTCATCATGACTTATTAAAGTAAACAAAAGGTAAATTAAAAAAACATCATTACCATTTTTCATCCTTGTGCTCTATAAGCAGTTTTCCATATTATATTTGTTGTGCACTTGATCATTATCCATCAAAACATTTAAAGTATTTCTCAATTAAAAATCCAAACATACAGCTACTTACTTTTTTTTTAATTCAAAGAGAATAGAGAAAAATTAAAATACACACCTGCTGCAAATAAGCTCAAGTCAGATGCCTGACTGATTTTTTCTTAATGTGCTCATAATCATTCTCATTTTGTCGCTCCGATTGCATAGGAATTAAAGTTTACTGAAAAATTCTAGCTTGATATTCTTGACTTCACAACTTTCATACTATCAAAATTGTATGTTGTGGACCAGATAAAAATGTAAGAAGGCCTGTATCTGGCCCACGAGCCTAGAGTTTGACACTTTCAACCTATAATATGTTTAAATGAATTCACAATGTGAACTTCACCTTGAGGAGCAGCTGGTATTTTGTGATTCGCTGGACGGGCTTGATCAGGTAAGAAGAGATGGAGTTAGCAAGACGATGTCTTTGTTGGATTTCCTGTGATGAAAAAAACAACAACAAAACAACAACAAGTTATTGTCTTCAGTCTTTTACGCTCATGTCTTACACAGGCAAACAGTGGGAGGAGAGGCTCGGGTTATCTCTGATAAAATCTTTTTTTAACCACAAAGCATCACTTACATCAAAGTAATTTCCAGCATGTTCCAGGATGAGCTGAGTGGAGTCCGGCTTGTTCTTACAGTAGTTCACATACATCTGGAACTTATCAGCCTTAAAAAAAAACAAAGTCAGCGTGTGAGACACAAAATATCCCAGCTTGAAAAGCTAAACACCAGCACCAGGGCTTTGTGTAAAATTCCCAAGCCCTTCTGTACTTTAGTCTCAGTGTGTAAACACACAAAGTGTCAATGGTTCTGCATTTAGTGTCTTTTTAGATTCATGATAAATTTCATGTGCATTTGTTCTTAGCGTTCAACTGCTCGTGATGTCCCTGCTGCTGCTCTATGTCTCTATTTAAGATAAAGTAGAAATGAAGCATTCATTACTTCTCTGTCAAGCGGTGGGATGTGGGGACTTTAAATTTGCCCCTAATCTTACATAATAGTGTAGGCAATTAAAGAAATTTGTGTAGCTGTAGTGAAAAGGTTCAGTGCAACATGTGCAAAGGCACAGAAAATGGCTGCAAAAAAAGTACCGCAATCACAAAAAACGTAGACGGAAACAAAAGCGTGCGATCACATAAAGAAATGCAAAGGAAAAACTAGAAGCACTCTGAGAGTGCAAACCTCCGCCAAGACCAATTTCCCCCATCCTGTAAGAGTTAATGCGCAAAAGCAGAGATGGAAACACATTTGCCGAATAAGTTCTGACGTAGTGAACATTTAAGCAGGCAGTATGCACGGGATTTCTTCTCGGTGGAGTCCAATGTGAAAAAAAAAAGTCAGACTCGTCACCCGACGTTATTTATCGTCAAACTGGTGTCGGATTAAGCTCCTAAGTTTTCATCAGTCACATCTCACCGTGTAAAACATGTTTTATCTCCTTGTATGAGTTTGTAATGGTTTGATAAAGTGCTTCTAGGCTCCCCCGTCTCCAAACTTTGAGGCCCGGCAGGTTTACAAGCCTAGTAGCGAGAAACTGTTTTGATTGGTTGTTTCGGAAATGTGGTGTGTTTGAGGAAATGGGAAAAATAGGTTTCATGCTGCAGTCACGCACTTCCTGGTCACAAAACGTTCTGTAAATGCGCATATTATGGCAAAAATTATTCATCATTAAATGTGGTTTTAACATTATTTTTATTAAGTTTGAAGTCCATGCTGTCCAATCCAGCTCACTGTTTTTTACAGAAGCCCTGTGAAATCATCACAGCTTTGCTGATCTGAAAAAAATTTCTGTATCCACATCGTGATCCGGAACATCACCAAAATTTAAAGGTGTGTTCCTTGGCCCAGTACGCACATGTGGTAAAAATGTCATGATAATCCGTCCACAAGTTTTTGAGTAATGTTGTCCACAGACAGAACGACAGACAGACAGACAGACATACATGAACGAAAACATTACCTCGCCCTTGGCGGAGGTAATGGTGCAAATATTAAAACGCTGCAAACTCAGCTCCACAAAACAGACCACTAGGGGGACTAGACTACCAGTAAAAAGACTACACCTCACTCAACTTCCTTCTGCATCTATTGTCTTCACTGATGGTGTAGTCCCATATGAGTTGGTGGTCTGATCTCCTTAGTGGTCTGGTGCGCTTTTGATTTGTGGAGCGGAGTTTGCAGCATTTTTGGTATTTGCAGCATCTTTCCTTTGCATTTGTTATTTTGTTTATTTCAGACTATTTTTATTAACTGCAGCATTGTTACTTTGTAGTGTTTTTCTGTTGCATATGTTTATTTGTATGTGTTTTGGAGTTTGCATCATTCATGTTTTGTCGTTTGCTGTGCATTTGCACCTGTCTACCACTGTAAAAATGGTACGAGCCAAAATAGCAAAAACAAAACAAAACAAACATGCAGGTAATCTCCTACCCAGGTCACAAAACAATGGCCGACATCCTCTGGAAGCTGCTCGTATTTCTCCAGCTCCTTCAAGAAGATACTGTTCAGAGAGAATCAAAAATATACACATTATAATGCATCCTTGCCAAATACATGAAAATCTATGATGCGATGGCAAAGCACACATACTTGTGATGGAATTCGTAGATGTCCTGCATGTTTCCAAAGATGATGAGCTCCTTGTTGACGATACCAGGAGGAATCTCCTCCACACCGCTGGTCATTTCCCACAGGTAGGTCTGCAAAAACACATGTCAGAGATCACTCCCAGGTAAACCTGAAAAGCTTCTGAAGCAGCTGCAAAGAATACTAACTCACTGATATGTCGGTGTAAATGTAAACAGACTGAGCAGGAAGACTGTAGGAACATGTTAGTGGGCATCTTCTTTATTACTTACATCCATACACTCGCGCAGGTCTCTGACGTACGCCTTCTCTGTTTGAATCAGCTCAGCCATTATAAATCTGAAAGGACGGAAATGAAAAAGTTTGTCACTAAACAACAGTTCAAAATTATTTGTTCCCAGTTAACATAAAAAAATGTTAAATTGTGAAGTAAAAAGATAGTTTTATCATCTTTTGTATTCGCTTGAATATTTTAGCCATTTTTTTAGCTCAATAAAACAATTTAAATTTGTGCTAAGAAGAATGGTTTAGAGCAGGGAAGGAAAAAAAAAAACAAGCTTTACGTGTCCACTGTGAGCTATCATACAGTATATAGTGCAATTTGCAGGCTGTTCAGGGGCTTCTTGCTGTAAAAAACAATTCCTTTAAATGGTCCTTAAACCATTTACAACTACTCACCACAGGCATTTAAAACAGCACTGAGACCAGGTTGACTGTGTGCTAAATGCTCATAAACCAATTATTCATTCTGCTTACCGTGTGCAGTAAATCCAATCAGCATTTGTCTTCAGATGGGAATGGAGTTAAAAACTTTACCAGTAATTTTAATGTCCTCCTAAAATCAGAGTAATTTCACAACAAACTACTCTTTTAAAAAAAAATCTATTAAAGTAAAATAAGTTTGAAATGACAGAGCCATTAAACCTTTTCCTGACTTAGGAAACTGTAACTCTGAGGTTTGACTCTTACTCTTTCCTCCGTGCTGATTTCCTCTTCTCCTCGTTGAGTTCGTGGGCTGCATCCCTCAGCTTGACCTCTGACCCCGGAGCAATGGCGGGGATGATGTCCAGTTGCAGCTCTTTACTCTGGGGAACACATGAAACAGTGGCTATTACAGTGGGTAACAGTGAGAATAACACTGTGGGATGTGTTTGCTTTTTGCCGGCAGCTGCTCGTTAAGAAACGTTTAAACAGGAACATGTATGGACAGATCATCAACATCTGACCAATGAACACCATCAGTTTGAACAACTGGTTATTAAAAGTTGAGAGAGTAAAAAAAAAGATTTTCAATCAAACAGAGATTCTTAACCTATGGGCCACGAGCGCCACCTTGAGGGCCTCAAAAGAACAACAGTTTTTAACTTTAGGCCGCAAAGGGCAGCGGGACCGCGTTGATTTTGATTAAGGTGCAATACACTTTCTCACCACTAGTAGCGGTAGTGTACCACTCAGATGTTTAACAACTTATTTTAATACGTAGAAGAAGAAATTTAGAAACCTGCCGAGAATGGAAACCTATTATAAATTAAAAGTAGAAGGAAAAATGAAGATAGCCCATCAAAAAATGCTAAAGTTTGTCACTAATATGAAGTGCAGCCTCTGGTTCTACCATGCAATATTTTAAAAGTTCAAAATATTATCAAATACAGTTGCAGATACAGCTATATTTTAATTTGCACTTTATCAAATTAATTTTTGCAATTTATTTTTAAGTATTTTGTCAAAAAACTGTTGTTACTGTTATTGTTTGTCACTAATATGAAGTGCAGCCTCTGGTTCTACCATGCAATATTTTAAAAAGGCTTTATTTTCATTTGCACCTTATCAAATTTATTTTTACAGTTTTTGTTATTTGGAACATATACATTAAATATTTTTGAATGTGTTTATTTTATGATCACAATTTTATTCATTGAATTGTCTATTTTTGTTGTTCTTTACGTTTAAAAAACATTATTTTTGCCTGTGATGGACTTGCGACCTGTCCAGGGTGTACCCCGTCCCTCGCACTGTGACTGCTGGATATGGGCACCAGTGACCCACGCGACCCTGAAAGGATAAAGCGTGTACAGAAAATGGATGAATCGGTTATTTTTGTGTTGATATGCCTGAGTGGTCTGTTGACTGACKGTTGTATTTGTTCAAATAATTGTTATGGGCAGGTTGCAATATAAAAAATGTTTGTCATACTCATGTCTTGTGATTATTTGACAGGAGTTTTACTTTTAAACTGTAAATGTATTTGATTTAGTTATGATGCAAATACAATACAAATCAAACCAAGATTTAGAATAATTATCATTTTGATCCGTATGGGCCTCGTGTCACTTTATGTTGAACAAATTGGGCCCTGAGGCCAAAAAAAAAAAAAAAAAAATGTTAAGAACCCCTGCAATAGAACACACTGCAAATTATTTAATGTTCAAAGTGATTATTCACTCATTTTGATTTTGATGCCTGCAACACGTCCCAAAAGAGCTGGGACAGGGACAACAAAAGACTGGGAAATTTGAGGAATGCTCAAAAAGCACCCATTTGGAGCATTTCACAGATGAACAGGAGAAACAGGCGAGTGTCATGATTGGGTATAAAAGAAGCATCCCCGAAAGGCTCAGTCGTTCACAAACAAATTTGGAGTGAGGTTCACCGCTTTGTGAACAATTGCTTGAGTAAATGGTCCAACACTTTAATAACAATGTTTCTTAACATACAACTGAAATGAATTTAGGGATTTCTATGGTCCATACTACCATCGAAAGATTCAGAGAATCTGGTTAAATCTCTGCAAGTAAGCAGCAAGGCTGAAAACCAACAATAACCCTCGATCCCTCAGGAGGCACTGCATTAAAAACATTTCATTCTGTAACAGATGGGCAGGCATTGAATTCAAAATAAGTGGATGTTTATAAATAAAAAGCAATAAAGTTTATCTGTTTGAACATTCAAAATCTTGTATTTTAGTGTATTCAATTGAAAATAGCTTGACAAGGCTATCATTGTATTTTGTTTTCATTTATGTTTTACACAACACCTCAACTTCATTGGATTTGGGGTTGTCTGTAAAAAACAATAGAAAAGCAGGATATTTGGGGGCGTAGTTTCCAATTTAACGCATGCGCGTTATTAAGGGTAAAAAAGGTCAACATCTCCTTGTTCTGGCTCCTTAAAAGCCATTATTTGTCTTTTGTTTAAGGTCATGACATTGTTAGTTTATTTTATACTGAGTACTAAGTTTTATTTTGAAAAACAGAAAACCAAGGAGTCACAGCGTTAGTACTTTATAGTTTAGAGATGTACTTCTGTGGATTGGCTGCAGCCTGTTCCTAAGAAGAGCAGTAAAGAATGCTTTATTTTATATGTATAAGTGTACAAATAAAGCAAACAGCTGATCTAAGTAAGTTGTAGTTTGTAGTAATTTGAGTTAGCAGAAGTTTTGTTTATATGCATCTTATGTAGCAAATTTAGTATTTCAGCTTACGGTAGCATTTGTTAGCTTTGTTGTTTCAGCAACTCATGCTAGCATTTTTCCTTTAACAGTTTTACTCTGAGCAGTGGTGCTTTAGATAAAGTTCAGCAACTATAACTATTCGTGCCTCATCATTGGGTAGAGTATAGTACCCATTTAGCAACCAGAGCGAGGGCAGAATACTCTCTGCCTGCTACTTTTTGATGTAAAGTACACGAATATCTGATCCGCACTTACAGCCTTGTTGGAATCAGAGGAGATGCCAAGCGCCGTTTCCAGGCTGGTTCGGTATTTGTCCATGCGGAGAGAAAAGTCCCTGTAGCGCTTGTCCACCGAGGACACCCATTTCTTTATCTCCAGGGCGTGGGCGTGGCCCTTTTCACAAAACCCATCCGCCAGCTGGATCAACAGCTTTACCCTCTCTTTGGTTTGCTGTCAATAGGAAAAAATTAACAAAAATAAATAAATAAATAAATAAATAAATAAATAAATAAACAGAGAGTAAAGGCAGGTGGTGTCGTGTGGGGGTGATGGCAGCAGAGAGAGGCAGAGAAAAGGTAGATGAGTTAGGAATCATGTGTCGCTTCATGCACACAATGGCTCGCTCTGGAAACGCACAATAACAGTGACACAGCAGAGAGGGAGGACAATAAACAGGGCCTCACATCTGAGCGCAGGACAAACACAAAACCATCAAGTCGTACAATACAAACGAAAAAAAAAACAGGTGACAATTTATTATTATTTGTTTAGATATAAACCAGCAAGCCTTCTACGTACCTTTGCTGTGATCTGGAAGTCTTCATGTTCCTTCAGCAGCTCCTGTGTGTGGTGAATGCTGGACCCAGTGGATGTGTGTGTGGACAGGTAAAACTCTCCGGTGTCGTGGATCCATTCCAGAGCCTGACGGAACAGCCAATCAGAAGTGAGTGGACAGAGGACAGAGATTTCAGCTATGGCGTTTGTTGAAAATCCAAATTAGAGCACAGTATTTAAGTTAATAAACCTGAAACTTACAAACTGATGGTGCGACAAATACAAAATAAACTTCTAACATGAGGAAGCACAGAAATAAATAATAAAAAATACACAAGTCAGCTAATTTTAAAAGTATTAATTTAAAAAATGAGCGTGGTAATAGCTGAGCATCATCCTCAACATGACACATTTTGAGACATTTATGCTTAAAACTTCAGCATTAAACTAACAATGTGAACTGTTTTTGTCTGTTAGCAAAATATTTAATGAACCACTGAAAGGATTTTAATGCAACTCTCAGAAATTAAACATTGTAAACATCTTTACAAATGATTATGTTTTGGAGTAACCTCTACTCATGATGGCTACCACAGTTGATCAACATCGTTCAACACAAAAATGACAACAACTCTGTCTGATTTACAAATATTAAGCTAAAATTTGATGATATGGTAGCCAAGATTTTCTTACAAGGTGGTGGATGATATGTAACACTTATTTTTTTTTAAGCTTAGGGATGATGTCATCTTTATGATTTTAGAAACAACACCATCATAGCAAAATTAAATGGCTTATTTTACAACTGCTCGATACAAAGATATTTTTTAAAATCCCAAAATAAGTGTTTTTGCTGCTCTTTTATATGCCAATTTTAGAATGTCCTACTTAGTGTCTACTCTTTGTACTTCAAAACTGGGCCTGGAGGTGATACCATGCTGACCTGTGGTGGCAGAACTGGTCCAGTCAAACTGTGAGACCAAAAATGCATTTAGGCCCCAGAGAAAAAACCTGGACAGTCTTAGAATAGTCATGTTCCAGAAAACAGATGATGTCCCCTGATTTTCTTGGCTAAGCCAAACGTTCTGTGCATGTGTTGAGCTGTCTTTACCACAAGAGGGCGCCAAGAGGATTATTTACCACCACCACGGCATGCAGGTGTACAACTCCAAGAGTTTATAGTTACTGTTCTATATTCTGTCAAGCGCTCAAAGCTTTGTCTGAATAAAAACGTCAAGATGCCAGATGAAGATGTTTCAATGCTTCTTTAAACAGAATTAAACAAACTCAACTTCTGAACCTTTTTAATCTGAGAAAGCACATGAACTTTAGTGACTCAATTCCTCCAAACAACAAAACGCAGGAAAACCGTTTTAAATCAACCTGTGGTTGATCGGCTCAGCTCAGCCTGAGGTGGGGAAATGAATGGTTTGAGATATTATTTTTGGAAATCCTTTGTACTAAGGCTGTCTTTAAATTTACAAAACCACATCAAAACAACCATTTCTTGCAAACATCTGACTTTCTGGACATTTGAACTGAGTCATTACAAAGAAACATTTACTGGACACCATATACCGTCGCTTTCTTTTATAATTTAGCTGGCCCTGTGACATAGTCAGGTATGACTTTCATAGCTTTTCAGTTAGTTCATACAGACTGACATGAACCAAAGAGTAAACAACACCATCCGAGCAGTGAGAGGACGCTCTAGGCTTGTGACAACTATATGTTGCTTATGTATGGGTTTAAAAAAATGCAGATAAAAATGGCGATTGAGCTGCAGAAAGAGAGTTTAGAGTGAACTAGATGGGTTCAAATCATTGAGAAGAATTAAAAATAAACATTAAGGTTTTGCACAGAGTTCCAACTCATTTTCCATTTAAAAGTTCTCTGCTTTTTCATTATTCTAATTTAAATTTATGTTCTGATGTCTTCGCATTTCTGTATAACATGACCCATCTATCTTAACGCCAGAGTTACAGTTTACTTTAAAACAAAAATAAATACATTTTATCAGAGCATTTATTTTAAAATTAAATCGTTTTATGTATTTTAAAGCTACTGAAGAGTTATCTATTGTGCAATCTTGTTATAATCTCCTAATAAYTTTTGCAGCTTGTGAACCAAATGCAAAGGCCTTTATTATAGCGCCCCCTGTTGGTTGACATGCCTGATTATTTTTCTCCACTGAAAGGCTTGTTTATACTACCCTGTAAATATCTTAGGCAGAGTCCTTGTGGTTTGTGCTGCAGTATGAGTTTTAAACATAGACAAAACATTTAAAAAAATGGAGAATAATAAAAAAACAGAACAGAAACAACAGGATCCCATGCTCCACTGAATGCATGGAAACTGCTGCTTTTCAGCTACATTCTCGTGCTCTATGGGCTTGGACCCCTAATGAGAAAGTTGTGAGGGACTGGTGAAAAGCAGAGGTTACTCTTACTGCAATGAAGAAAATAAAGACATCACGTGATGTGAAATTAGATTGGTGAACTTATCAGTAACATGTTTGTTGGACTCGTTAGCTTGTTAGGTTAATTAAGGCATCCCGGGTATGCTCTGTGTGTTACTGTGTTGTTCCACATTAAACGTCTGGTCTTTGACTTGGTGAAATAAATAAAATCTATAATCCAGTGCAACATATATGTTTTTTTCCCTCTTCATGATGCGTTTTTTGACCAAAGCGACTTATAGTGCAAAAAATACGGCATAAAAAGAAAAGCTCAGTTAAATGTAGTTGAACAACAAACACAAGCCTAAAATCAGTCAACCTAATACGGACACAGTAATAATGCATGGTCATAGTTTACACACAAACAGAAACACACACCTGTTTGGCACTTCTCTCAAACACCACATATTGCTGGCACTGGTCCAGCCTCCTCTTCCTCATGGTCCAGAAGTGGAGGACTCTGTTCTCTCGCTGCAGCAGCTCATTTAAGATGTCTGAGAAAACAGCCCAAACCTCAGTTATTCACCATGTTTACTACCGGAATTTGGATTTCACTGTGAATATAATAATAATAATAATAATAATAATAATAATAATAATAATAAAAACACAGAAACAACAAAGCTTCGGATCGCTGATTACTTACTCTTGACCTGAGTCTCGGGAGCTTTGACGTGGGACAACATGCCGGGCATGTTGACGCTGTTCCTGTGCAGGTACTTCAGGAACACATCGGCATTGCGCCTGGCTAATGTGCAGGCCTGGAAGTGTGCAGGAGAGGTGGGGTGGGGGGGGGGATTATTAACCAGACGCACAATACACGAACAGACATGCATTTTCTTATCCTAAATGACTTTACTTTGAGGAAAGCCTCTTTCTGCTCCAGATGTTTGCTGATCATAGGCGTGACGTGGTCCGTCTCGCTGTTGGGGCCCAGCTTATCGGCACCGCCACACCAGTCTTCTTCTCTCTTGTACTCCTGCTCCAGGCTCTCTAACACACTGCACACCTGCCACGCAGACACACACGCACACAGGGCGCGGCTCACTAACGCACTCTAAACGGATGCGGCAACAACATCTAGGTCTGTCTGCAGGAGCTGACCACTTTTAATTCAAACAAAATGTCGTTATCTGAACACAATTCACTGGACTCCTGATCTTTAGAGATTTAGGAGGGGAGAATAAATTCCACCTTTTCAAGCTGCAAAATGTATCTGCAGGCAGGATTTTTACAGCCTTCCTCTTTATGCTTAGACTTTTTGAAACGTTTTACCCACACTACGAACCATAAGCCCTGACCCACCAATGGTACTTCCCCTAATGGACACACACACACAGACACACACACAAAGAGAAAAATGTACCTGCTCAGAGGTTTTGTAGAAGGCCACAGAAGCATTAACCAGTTTAAGCCTGTCCTCCATCTTCAGCATCAGCTGCTGCCAGTGGTCCGCCACCTTCAATCCCAAAACAAAACCAGTGAGTTTAAAACGAGTGGGTTATTCTGACGTGGTTTTCCTATAAAGGGGAATGAAACTGATCGACCTTTTCTGCACAGTCTCTGATCATATCCATGTCGTAGTGGTTGGCCTGGAGAAGGGCTTCAGCCTTCTGCTGAACCTGCAGCGCACTCTGATGGGTTTTCTACACGGAGGCAGAAGAAAATACATTTGAACCTAAATAACCAAATAATTTCCAGAGAGTTTTTGAAGGGTGCTACTGAATCTACTGCTCAAACTTCCAACATGTAATTGGTTAGAATCTAAACTAAAAAAAAATAAATAAATAAGAAGTGAAAACTGTGACGAGAACCGAGCAAAACCTGTGTATCTCACTCCCTGATGACTGACTTAAAGAGAGGCGGACAGGAACGGACTACAAAGTAAGCCTCAAACAAATAGTCACTGTGCAAAAAAAACAAAGTTCGATTAATGTTATAAACTTGAGAAGTAAAGGACTCTAATGGTGATGTGATAATTTTTATGCATCTACAACGTTTTATGACATGTAAAAAAAAATCAGCTAAACTAACCTAAATCTCAGGAAGGTGTGTATGCTCTGAGTATTCTGGGTGGTATGAGGAAAATTATTTTTTCTATAGCAATCAGAGACACGTTAGGTGAAAGAAGACATAACTTGTAAGTGAACCAAAAAGAGATGTTTCAAAAGGTAAGAATATCTTTGCAAATGTTTTCAAAGTTAGAGTGTGACCTTTTTTATATACAAAAAACACGTATACTGTGTGAAATTTGATTAGGCAAGAAAAAAAAGCATAAAATACATTAAAGTGCCAGTTCAGACAAGTGAAGGCCAACTTTCTGTGACCCACTTTACTTTTGAATTATGCTTTTATTGTGAAGTGCACCTGAGTTACAGAGCTCTAATGTTTCTCATCTGTTTTGCCAAAATCCTTTGAACCGCCTACGTTTTGTTTCGTGCCATTAATTTATTTTGTTGCTAATTTTGTCTGTGTTGGACAACATATTGCTACCAAAGTCACACTATTACACACTATAATTGAGATACAGTGTTACATAAAATCTATATGGTTTGTTTTAAAGCTGTGCAACGAGACACAAAACTATTTTTTTAAAAGGAAGATAGTAATAAGGTAGAATTAAAGCATTAAAAGACCACTAGATGTTTTAAAAGTTTGACTTTATGCTGCTTCCAGACAGTAGTTTGTCAGAGAATGGAGGACTGACGCAACAGTAAAGGCTATATGTTTAACAGATGTGTCAGACTGTTGCACTTAAAGTGAAAATTCAGAGAGGACTCAAAGAACTGAAAATCACAGCAGGTAACCTGAGAGTAAAGCTTTGCTTCTTGTAAAAAAAAACAACTAAGTTTTCCTTCCACCTCTCCTCATGACACTGTTACATTTTTTAAATGTCTAGCCCCTGCAGGTTATTATTCCAACAATAGTTCCGTTTTTCTCCACTCACAGGACCCACTGTGGGTATCGGGTCTGTAAAAAAAAATTGAAAAGGGAAAAATCCAACAGTCATACAAAAAGGTTTCCTCTGAGTGTGATTCTCTGCGTGTGTGTGATCGGAACAGAAGTAGGTCAGACACAGACCTGCATTAGAATGAGACAGTTTTGATTGAGTTCAAAGACACGCAGCCTGAATAATCAGTGGCAAGGAGGAAGGAAGTGAAAATGAAGGAAGGAAGGAAAGAGTGAGGCAGAGACACTTGTGTTAGGACGATGTCAAGAAAACTGAAAAGAACTTGATGTTGAAGAATGAAGGTTTACAGTAACTGTCTGTGAGCCAATTAGTGCTGTGATTTTTGTAATATTTCTACACTGTAGCTCCTAATGATAACAGTCTACAACAAGTGTCAGTATACACTTATATATATATATATATATATATATATATTTATATATTAAAGTATATCTGATGTGGGAAGAGGTTAAACATTACATACAATCATGCAAAAATTATGTTTCTTTCCAGAAAGTTCACCTCTATTGCATGTTGAAATTGTTCATGTTCCTTCTGCAGCTGTTCAGCTTCCTGTAACGAGCTGGCTGTGATGAGACCAGCGTTCAGCATCGACTCGCCGTTACGGATCCAGCCGAGCACCTGCAGCACACACAGAACACACTCATTCACTTACTTTTTTTGTATTGTTACAAACATTTGTATCAATATTACATACAAAACAAATAAAAAATGATTCATATCTTTTTCCCCATTTTTCAACTAAAACAATAAAGTAGAGAATTTGTATTTTCTGTAAAACTGCAGCGTGATTGTTTAATGCAGCTAAAAGAGAAACAATGTACAATAAATTTGTAATTTGTTGTAAAATTGATAAAAAAGATTATTAGCAAAAGAAAAAGTAGCTGAAAAAGCTGAATCCAGCACAAAGAAGCAGAAATAGCAATTTTTGCTGAATCAAGCAGAGTAGCTAAAATGATCACAAAAAGGCAAATTTAGCTAAAGAAAAGCTAAAATTGGCTGAAAATAGCTAAAAAAGTAGCTTAAATAGACTGTTTTGTAGTTAAAAATTACAAATTTGTCTGTGCAAAGAAGGATGAGCCATTTTACAGACTTGTTGTATTTGCTCTGAACTGATTCATGTTAAACTTTCTTTTAAGATCACAGATGAAAATTTTCATAAACATTTTTTGAGCTATAAATCTACTTTTTATGCTTGTTGAATTTACATATATCCAACGGCATTTCCATAGCAACCTCAGCGTTATCTTGGTTGACACGTGACCTGGGAGAGTTAAGCTCCGCTACTCGTAATTACGAAATGATCTATTGCAAAATAACAGCTGAAAGAAGCACGAAAAGCTTAAATTAGCAGAGAGAAGCTGATAGAAGCACAAACAAAAAATAATTAACAGAATAGATTAAAAGACCAGAAAGATAGCGCAGAAAATAATCTAAAATTAGCAAAAAAGAAACTGAAGGAAGCTATAATTAGCAAAAAGAAGTTTCAAATAAAGGTGAAAAGTGCAGGATACGTTTGACTGGATTTTAAGAATGTTATACAGCTCAATTCAACCCTTCAATTAGAACAAAAATGGTTGAAAAGGCTAAATATCCAAAAAAGTCCTTTTTGCTGAAATACCAAAAGTCATCACTAGAATGTCCTGATGAAGATGAAAGCTTTGACACATGAATTGTTGAAATAGCACAAAAAGTGCAGAACGAGATAAACACCAGAAAACGTACGGGGGGAAAAAGGTTCTATTATGTGTTTATTTTTTGTCACTCTTCAGACTTTCTAACCTCCCTGTTTTACCTTTAACTGGCTCGAAAGTCCCACAGACCCCCCGCTCGCCCTCCACGCACGCTGCGCAAGAGGGAGGCTTTTAATTTCCCTTAACTCAGTTCTGCTGGCCCTGGGGCAGACTCACAAAAGTGAGTCAGCGAGCATGCGAGCTGTGTGGGTGACGGCAGAACTGAATCTAGGCTGTAAAAAAAATGATGACGCAACATGGGAGCTGACTCCTGTTTTCTTTCCATTACACTTTCCATGCCCTGAGGTGGAGCAAATGTGTGCGTATAAACTACACAAACATAGAACCATAAGGTTATGTTTTGTGTCAGGTCGGATTGCATGCAAAATAACTCCTGCCTGATCAGTGTTCTTAAAATGGGCCTTTTTCGTAATGACATAAAAATAATTATTATCCATGAAACTAACAGCTAAAATCCTAAAACTTGACATTTTAGTGCGCCTTGTCCACTTCTGTTTGATTATCTTAGGAAGAAGCAGTTTCTGCAGGGAAACTCAGACATCTCCCTCCAACACCACCTGAGGAGACATTCCCAAACCAGAGGAGGGGTATGTAGATCCTTCAGCCAGCTCTGAGTCAAACCTGAGGTCTCCTCCCCACTAAATAAATAAATAAATAAATGAAAGTGACTACAGAAGCATCTTGATCAGATGCCTAAATCACCTCTGCTTGAGTAATATGAAATAAATTTAAAAAATACAGGCTAAAATTGGATGAGGATTTTGCCCAATCCTGGTCCCATTGATGATTGGCCCTAGCCAAAATTTCAGGTGGTGCCCCCTGTACAATTGAAAATTCTCTGCCAATTTACATACAGTATACACATTCAGACACCAAATTAAATAGTGTTGTCTTTGATATATGTTTTTTGTTTAGAAGCCCGGTTATCTGATTGAAATGGTTACTGGAATTCATTTGAAACTAAATAGCAGAAGTCTGACTTATACCTGCCAACATTGCTGACAGCAATGAGAAATATCTGTTTTATGTTAATGAAAAGTTGTGGAGTGAAGTGGTTCTAGGGCGTATTACTCGAATGGAAAAAATTGTAAAAGATCCACTCAAAACTATGTATTTTCCAGCCATTTGGATGGTAAACGGCTTGAACTTCTATAGTGCCTTATCAAGTCCACTTGGAGCCTAAGGTGCTTTAACACTTCAGGCATTCACCCATTCACACACTGATGATGGTAAGCTACAGCCACAGCTACCCTGGGGCACACTGACAGAACAGAGGTGGGGCTGCCATGCACCAGCTCCACCGGACCCTCTGACCAACATTAGTAGGCAAGGCGGGTTGAAGTGTCTTGCCCAAGGACACAATGACTGAAATGGCTGGATGGGGGGATCGAACTGGCAACATTCTGGTTCCAGGACGACTCCCCTAACCACTCCACCACAGCCGCCTGATTTGAAGAGCATTTGTCTAAACTCTTGGGATTAATAAAATATAAAATTTGTATTTTCTGAAGGTAAAATTCTGATAACAAGACTTTAAACTAACTGTGTCTGAGATCACAACTTGAACCTTTATTATCCTTTTTTGTTTTCAGTTCACACACTGAGCACTGTGAGATGATAGTTTTATCACAAAATACCTTATATTACCTCATGTAGTAACAAAGCAGAACAAGCTACCTTCGTAAACCTGAGAAACCAGTAACTATTCTACAGACTGAATCAGCTATATGCTGATAAAAAGTTATAACATTTTTTTTGGGGTGGGGGGGGGTCTCTTATTCGTGGTGCCCTCTAGATGAACAGGGCTCTTAGCATTTACCTATACAGTCTATGTTTCAGGCCAGCCCTGGTCACTTTTACATTCATCTCTTTTATAAACTGTTGCCACAGCCGTCTTCATGCGTAATTTTACCTCTGTTTTTTCCCGCCTATTTATGCAGCTACTTTGATTCATCCCTCGCAAATAGAATACAGGGCAGTCTAAATATGATAAGAGTTGTTGACAGTGAAAACTTTCTCTCCAGTAGAGTCATTCGTTTTGTTTTGCTCTGAACTCTCAGCTGGTGAAACTGCTCCACACAGGGGTCATGTTGTAATTGCACTCAACTGCTGAATGGATGAAAGTAGAAAATAGCCTGTTTAGATAATATCCACTGAAACAACAAATGAGACGGACTCTCTCTCTCTCTCTCACTAAGATGCTATTTATTTATGTTTTTGTATTTCCAAAATGCCTGTTTAGCTCTCAGTGCCTTGATGCAACTATACATTCAGTTTTCAAAACAATGTGAACAAGCGACAAAATAATAGTGCAATACCTTTTACATCAACATGATTCATCTCTGTGCTTATTGTCCCCCTGCCTTCCACAAATAATTTCAGAATTTCTGCCTTTGGTGGAAATTAAACATAGGAGTTGTCTTTATCATAAAAGTCCACTCTTGAGGTTATCTCAGAAGTCCAATCCTACTACAGGCCCATTTTTGGATGCTGACATTTCTCAGCTGTTTAGCTTTTGGTTACTGTGGCCAAAACACTCCAGTTTCCTTCAAAAGTTTTCTTTTGTCAGAACGTAACATGTGTTTTTAGTTTTGGTGTTTTTTTTTCCATGCGAGATGCCTCGTTTAGTTTCCTTTTGTTTAAATCTTGATTTATGGCCTGCCTCTGGCCACTGTGCCTTTTCTTTGAATTACATGAGTAAGAAGCAAGTTGTTATTTACCCCTCATCCTGCTCCCATGCCTGTTAGTCTGTATTTACCTGCCTGACTTTAACAACTACACTCACATCATGACAGTATCTGTTTCTCGACTTTTTGAATACAGTATATACGGTATGGCAAAGAACCAATAACAACAACAGACAGAGACAGGAAAAAAGAAGAGAGAAAAAATAAAAACTGAAAGAAAAAAACAAGGTAGACAGATTGTTGAAACGGGGTGAGTCATCTCATTGTGGTCATGTCCAGGCAAAACATACTGTGGTCGTTTGAGCACGCACTAACACAATCTGCTGTAAGAGTGTGGCATGCTGGAGCAATAAATTGTTAACAAGACATGTCATTAATCAGTATAACCTTAGTCTTAACCTGCTTACAATATGTTAGACTCCACGAGTCAACAACTGAGGATTTGTGTCGGGTAGATTTTCTCTAAACACACATCAGTTTCAAAGTAAAAAGTCTACAAATGTTCAAAAACATGTTAGACCTTGTGAATCCAACACACACACACGCACGCACGCACGCACGCACGCACGCACGCACGCACGCACGCACGCACACACACACACAAACAAACACAAACACACCACTGTTTCTGGAGTCGTTTCGTGTTCAAGAGCTTACCTGCTTGACCTCAGCTTGTAGGTGCCTTAACTGGACGCATTGCTCCAAATGTCTCCTGTGCTGCTCGGCGGCGAGGTCCAACTCCTGCTGCTTCTCGTGAAGAAACTCCAGCAGGTCCTGAACCCGGGTCGCCATGTCCACGTCTCTGTCACACAGCAGCTCCACACCTGGAGCAAGCGAACAGGCTATTGTGTAAATTCTAAACGTAAACAGACGAATGCCTGAATACATTAGGGGCAATGTGGTTACAGAGTCTTGCTCAATGGCACTTGGGCATGCTGCTCCAATTGGAAGACAAGCCTCTAGGGATGCATGATGTATTGGCACTAATTTCGGTATCGGCTGATATTGGTCATTTTTTTAGAATGTCCGTATCGGTCCGATATGTAAAACTGGGCCGATATTAACGTCCGATATTGATTTCCCACTTCTTAGCTTTGTGTTTCTGTTTTGGGAGGGGACATTGTTGGTTTAGTGACATCTGTTTATCATGATAGTAGGGGTGCAACAATACATGTACCCGTATCGAACCATTCAATACAGAGCTTTAGGTTCAATAAACACTTGTATCGAACAATACAGATTTTTTTTAATTTAGTTTATCAACTTGTCTTCTGAAGATGCTCTGTGTTGAAGGACCAGTGGATCTGTGTTCTACTACTCCATCTAGGCTGCATTGTCGAGCACAGATCGACTGAGAAACTTGATGTTTCAGCAACATTTAATTTAAAAACCGTACTCTTGAAATTAAACAAATGTTCATAATTAATTTCAATAAATTACAAGTTAAGAGGGGCATGGACATTTCTCTGTTTTGTATCGAAAAAAATATTGAACCATGAGACTAAAGTATTGAACCGAACCGAATCGTGAATTTTCTGTATCGTTGCACCCCTACATGATAATGATATTGATGCTGCGTAGCCAGGAATAACTGAAGTAGGGAGCCATGTCAGAGGTCAGGTCGTCTATTTAGTGTGTGTGTGTATATGTGAAATAAAATTTGTGTGTTTGTGCAATATCGGTAAATATCAGTTATCGGCCATAACAGCAACAATTATATCGGATATCGATATCGGCTGAAATTTTCATATCGGTGCATCCCTACTAGCAGTGGTGGGCACAGTTCCTCTAAAGCACTAAAGCACTAATAGGGGAACTAATTTCCTGATTAATGCTTTAGGGATTTTGCTGATTCGTTAATTCGTTAGTGGATTAACACTTGCTAAATTTATGGGCTAAATTTATAAGCACTAATTGAGTTATTTAAAGATTATTGATCTACATTATTGCCAACAGCTGCGGGTGAAAGCTGTCAGACATGTTGTTCATTTGTGTGTCACTAATCCACTAGATCAGTTTTCAAACTTTTTTGCTTCCGGCCCACAAAATAACAGTTGCAGACACTCATGACCCCAAATATTACTTGTTTACATATGCAAATGTTGCTAATAACTCAGTTAAACATGGGAATAATAACTATAACAAAGCTTAAAGTTAGTGCTTTAGGGTTAGTGCAACAAATTTTTAGTTTAGTGCTGCCCACCACAAGCCTCTCTTCCACTGGAATAAAGCTGCTATGAGTTACAAATACATTTTAACTTAGTTTGACTTGATCTTTGGATATTACGTAGCAGTTGATAAATTTAGAGTAGCATTGCTCGTTTGTGGCTTTGTATATTTTACGTTTTAGAGATGTCATAATTTCAACATAAAGGAAGACATTCTATATAAAAATATCTTTCTCAAACATCAACACCAACCAATACAACCCAGCAGGAGCATTAACTGAATGGTTGCATTTTTTTTCTATTTTACAAAAAAACATTACATTTAGTAACAAACTCTTCCAGGCAGGTAATAAATGTTGCAGAGGAGTTTGTTTTTTTTCAATGACCTCTGAGAATCGAATGCACTCAGATTTTATTCATATTCATACAACAGTGCTGTTAAATTGTGAGCTACTTAAACAGCTTGATGCAAGATTATCGTCCTGGGAGAACATATAGATGTAGCTCTCGCTCATATTGTTAAAGAAAAACTAAAAACTTTTAGAACATGAGCAACAGTAATAAAGCAGATGTGTGAGTTCTTTGCAGCTACCTCTATACCTTTTGAGTTCATTCTCCTCAAGACTGGCCTAGCTTTTTCCTAAATAAAAGTCTGAGAACGTCTTGTCATCTTTTAACAGGTGTGAAAGCCTGCAAAGTTGTCAAAAGGTTTTTAGTGTTTCTATTGGCTCTTTCATGAGACAGCTCAGGTCAGGACTTGGATGCCTTCTGGGCGCCTCGAGGTGATATCTGAAAAGACTGAGGTGGCAAGGAGGGCGGGGTCGAAACCAGCACATCCCACCATGCACCTTTGTGTTGTGATGCAAGGTAGTAACAGAGCCAAAACGGTAAACAAGTACAAGGTGAGAGGTGTCGCAGCTCAATAATGTGATAAAGAGTTGATATTATGGTTTGTGCGATCAGATGGTTGAAGGATTAAACAACCATAAGTTTATTACGGAGATAATATTGATGGTGATGTCTTCAGCGATGCTCACTCCCATTTCTGAAAACTCACATCTGTGTGGGATGCGTTTTATGAAAGAGTTTGATGTGTGTGCTAGGAGGCTGATGCAGAGCATCTGCTGTATGTTCAAGAGACCTTTCATTTTCTTCCCTCACCTGAGGCTTGGACCTCTGTGACATACTGCAGCAGCTCCTGTCCCTGGTGGATGACGTCAAAGGTGAGGTTGTTCATGGTGAGTGCTTTGTCCGCATGATGCTGGAGCCTCTGCTCAGCCAGAGTCAGATCCTCCGTGTCAAAGTCATTCATCTGTTTGGTCAGCTCCTCGTTCCATGACTCCAGGTCTGAGATAATCTGTACGGGGACAGAATGGATCAGGAAGACAGACAGATGTGGAACGAATGATTAGTTTGGAACAAATGAGTTCTTGTGTTAAAAAAAGACAGTGTTGCCTTTTTTTGTCACATCAGCCAAAAACAAGGTTTCAGATTGACAATCTTGGCCACAATATGTGGCAGCAAAATTAAAAACATTCAAAAAGTCACTGAAGTCAAGTGATTGTTTATTTGTTATTGTCCCTTTTTTCTTTATTACTAGCTCAGGCACCTATTATAGTGAAGGGTAGCATATTAAAGTGGTAATGTACACCTGGTTGTGAGTTGTTAGTTCTTGTCTGACTACTCATGTTGACTGAATCATGGTAGCAGGAACCATTCATCTCTGTTAAGGTTTTGTCTCTTGTAGATCCAATTTAAGCACAATTATCTAGATTTTTTTTTTTTTTTTCGTTTAGGACTTGGCATAGTGTAAAATATGTCTTCATGTCAAATATGTGCCTTTTAAAAGTGACACCACCAAGAAACATGAGATACAGGGCCTTGACAAATGTTTAACTGCATCAGTAATACACATCTGGTGGGAGTTCTGACCCAATAGTGATAAAATAAAACAATCTGTGTGGAGAAATGAAAATAAGACACTTTGTCAGCTTTCATCCTCAGTTTTGAAACTAGTATCTACCTCATTTCAGAGAACCTCTATCTATGAGGAAAGTAAAAACTGAAGGACTACAGAAACTCCATTTCTGTTGAGTGTTGAATGAATGAAATGCTAAACTAAATTGGTAACCTTTAAACCAGCAGTACAGACTTAAAACCAGCAAAATGCTTAAAAAGCTTAAATTAGTAAAAGAATAGCTAAAAACTAAAGCGGGCAAACTATAGCTTAAACTTATAATTAGTAGTGTAATAGCTAACAGGCTAAACATTAGCAAAATTGTAGCTTAGCCTGTAGCTCAAAGCTAAAATTAGCAAAACATTAGCAAAAAAAGTCTAATTTAGCAGAACAGTAGCTAAAAGCTAAATGAAGTATGCTGAAGCAGATTTCCAAAAACCCATTTTTTTTAAATGGAACTGAAGAAATCTCACTGTTTTTCTACAAAAAAATACATTTGTAAATAAGTCTATTTTTTTAAATACAAAAGTTACAAAAAGTTCAAAAGTTCATAGCTCCTTATACCAGACACTGAACATTTTGATAGGTGAATAGTTAAAACAGCACAATGCATACAGAGACAGTTTGAGTCCAAAAATATTTTCAAAATAAAAAAAATCTCACTAATGTGGATACTAACTCAATATGATGAAAAAAAAGAGGAATGATGAGGTTTTCATATTAGTTATTATAATTGATAGAACAACATAGATGCAACAAAAGAAAAAAAATTCCTGGAAGTGAAGCTTGATGTGATATTCTTTAGCCTGGTAAAAAACAGACTCTTGTCCTTCACTTTGCTTCGTACGAGGGTCTGGACTCTCAGCTGTAGAAAAGCAATTCTTGCTGGAGGCGTGGCCTCTGCTGAAGTTTAAAACGATTGGATCGGTTGGCCGCAACGTTTGTGCCCAGCTCCTCTGTGAAGGAGGCTAAGTTAAGAAGCTAACTGGAAATCGAGAGAGCTGTAAACAACCCTACTGAGAGGAAAGAAGTACCGAGCTGAACGAGACGACTGTAAATGAGAGCTGCTGCTTTGTCAGACAAATTTAATTTAATTTGGAAGCCTTATCAACACAGACTGGCTTCATTCACTTCCTCTGCTGCCGTATGCTAAAATAACTAGCAGACACTGTGCAGAAAATCGATGTCATTCAAAACTCCGCCTTCAGTGTGCTGATTGGCCCAGGTAAAATAAACTACAAGCAGACACTGTGCAGAAAATCGACATTCTGTTCTCTGATTGGCCCGGATGAAAATTCTCCCGAAGAAATCCTTGTCTATGAGAGAAATTCCAGACGGAGCAGTGAAGTGAAACAAGAATTGAGCGGAACTGCGTAGGAAGGCAAGGGCCAGGCTAGATATTCTTAGCATTAGCTGACTTTTGTTGTCCATTTGTCTGCATTATAACAATGTAAAGCCTGTCAACATGCTATGAAAACAAGAGTCCGAGAAATAAATGCAGGTGTCTGACTTTTGATGCAGTTACACTACAGTGATCAAACTTGCACAAAGAAGGTGCTATAACTTGAAACAACAATGTGCTAAAAGTCTCAACTTGTAGAGCTGGAAAATTTTTTAAATGTGAAATGGAAGCTTTTGGGGACAGCTGCAAAAAAAAAAAACCCTTGAAAGTAGCTTAGCGTACGTAGCATGAAGCAGGTGAAGAAAACTGTTGAAGTTCCAAGATTAAAAGAGTGTGTATGCACCAGAAGTAGAAATGTACATGAGCATTTTGTCAAAAAAAAAGTGGGTGAGTGAAAATATTTGAGAGAAGAAACTTGAATTCTGATAAGAGAACACAAAATCAACAAGAACAATAGGTAGAATAAAAATCCAGAGTGTAAGTGCTGTGGAAGGTGATTATTGAATGGCAATCAGGTGAGCTGATTGCAGATGAATCACAGGTGTGTGGAGCTGAACACCAGGCAGTGCAGTGGGGTGCGCAGTGACAAATAAATCAAACAAAAAAAAACAATATAATGAAAATACTTTGTTCACAGTGAACAAATGACAAGAAAACAAAAATACAAACTATAATAATAAACTCCCAACACAAGAGATTTATAAAACCGTACACATAAACAAATCTCGTATTTTAAATCTCAGACATTGAGAAACTATGTTCGATTTCCAACACATGTCTGCCCCATGTCTAAAGATTGTTTGTTGGGGTTGCCTAAAAAAATTGGGCTTTTGCCATTGGTGCTAAACACAGAAAGTCCCATAATGACAGGTAATAGAAATTTCTTCTTATTTTAAATGTTATCATTTTAACACCTTAAACACATTTGACACACACAGTCACAGACATGTTATTGACTCACTGCCAGATATATACACCTGAGATGTTCCACCAGGTGTCATTTCATTTTATGTAACTGTAGAAGAGCAACAATGAGTCTAAACCCAGCCACAAACAATCACATTTCTAGCTGCAATATGTTCAACCATTTGGTTAAAAAAAAAGGACTGGAGCATGAAAAATCCTTTTCTTTAGCCTTGAACGTTTCTTGAAGTGTCCAAGCTGAATTTAAACGCAGGATAATATGATCCATGAAACTTTACTTTCTAAACATCTTTAAGCTGTTTGCCTCTTTGAATGTGCTTTAAAATGGGAGAATAAATCAAATTGAAAAACAAAACAAACTAAACGAGGGTTTGCAATACATCCACAAACCTGTACCTTCATTTTAAACACAAATCATCATCTTTGAATAACAAGATCAATTTAAACCAAGTTAAGCAAACTTACCAAGCGCTCCTCGTTTTTATGGTTTTCTCTTCTTTTAAAGTTAAGTAAAACACCTTCTGAGTAAAAAAGTACCATTTCCTTCATCTGTCGGGACTAAAGGAACTATCCAACAGAGGGGATACTGTGTCCCTTTTTGCCTACTTTGTCTCTGTTGTGTGAAGCAAACAGGTTAGCATCAGAAAAGAAAGTACTGAAAGCTGAAGGTACCGTAAGTCTCACCTAACCCATGTCCTTACACCCACACACACACACACACACACACACACACACACACACACACACACACACACACACACACACACACACACA